CGAGGTCGTCAAAAAATGACGAGGCCGAGCCTGCATTTTGACGAGGCCTCCCGCTGCAGACATCCCACGAAACTCCTCCTCGTCAAAATCCGAGGCGCGGTCGTCAAAAAACGATGGCGAACCCGAGTCCTGGCAAACCCGGGTCTTACGCTCCCCCGATACAACATTGATTTACCCCAGAAGCATTGGTTCGTCGAATCTACAAAGCATGCGCAGACCGTCCGTAGATCCACGACAAGTCCAAAGATCTGCCGCAGGCCCTGCCGCAAAAAACAAATAAGGCGGATCGATTGCGCAAACGATCTCCTACTCGATAGGTCACTCTGGCGAAGGGTCACCCTTTCCGTGTGGCCGACCCAGACGTGAGGCCTATACGGCCACACTCGGCTATGCGCAAGAATGACCCTGGGTAAGAGTGACCTTTGGTGCGCGGCTCTCTGGGGGGCCGCGCGGGAACCAAACACAAGAGCGCAAGACGCTGCTGCCGCATCGCGTTCGGCGATCGGGGGGCCCCGTTGGGCCCCCACCAAAGGTCACTCCGGCGAAAGGTCACTCCTACGTGCAGTCGACACAAACGCCCCCCTTGCCCAGCGCACGCGGCCGCGGGCCTCGGCCTGGCCGCCGCGGCCGCCCTGGCGCCGCGCCCTGGGCATGCCCGCGCCCAGCGGGCGGCGGGTGCGAAGGCCGCGGGCGCGACGCTGCCAGCATCGCGCCCCCGCGCGGCCGCGCCCGTCGGCCACCGGGAGGACGCCGCCCGGGGAAAGCTGGAGTCCGAGCGGCCACGGGGTGCGCAGCAGACAGGTGGCTCCTCCGGCCGCGGTCGCCGGGGAAAGCTGGAGTCCGAGCGGCCACGGGGTGCGCAGCAGACAGGTGGCTCCTCCGGCCGCGGTCGCCGCGCGCACGGGTGGACGAGGGCGACCCGGCGCAACGACAGAGCAGGGAGAGGAGGGGGCGCGGAACCTCCTCTCGCCGTGGCTCGGACGTCCACTCCTTGTGCATTTGTCGGTCTCGTGCGTGTTTTTTTGCTCGATGGTCCAGGATGGTCCTCGAGGGTTCTCGCCGAGAAAAAATGCACACGTCCGAGCGATGCCAGGGTCCTGTGCCCTCCTTCCTCCTGCTGCAGGCTGCAAGCTGAAGGGTGGCGGCCAGTGGCCCCCCGAGAAGGGGCAGCCGTCGCCCACTCGGGAGCGGCCAAGAGGGGGGTGTCCAAGAGGGGGGGGTACAAATCATGACTGGCGGCATGTGCGCGGCCCAGAGGGGGGGCCAGGGACGTCATGAAACAAGAAGAGGCGCCATGAAATCTAAGGAAAAATCATGGCCCGCGCCATGAAATCCCCCCCCCCCCCTAGTCATCACCCCCCTCTTTGCCGCCCCCGACCCTCCTCCTGCTGCAGGCTGCAAGCTGCAGGGCGGCGGCCTGTGGCCCCCGAGAAGGGGCAGCCGTCGCCCACACTCCCTGCGCACACCAGAGAGGCAGGCAGGGGGGGGGCCCAGGATCCTGGAGATGGGCAGGCTCCCACGGTAGAGAGGCAGGAGGTAGAGGATTAGAACTCCTCCTCCTCCTCCTCCTCCTCCTCCTCCTCCTCCTCCTCCTCCTCCTCCTCTTTCTCCAACTCCTCCTCCTCCTCCTCCTCCTCCTCCTCCTCATCCTCCTCCTCCTTCTCCTTATCCTTCTCCTCCTCCCCCTTCTCAGTGAAGTTCCTCATTCCACACCGGAAACTCCTCCCAGTCGTCCCCCCCCCAGACTTGTCGTCGGGGCGGGCCAGGCGTTTCGCCTCAGACCTCCTCGTCGCTCGGGCCCTTGAACCCTGCAATCCCGCCAGCCCTCTGTGCGCAGGCGGTCCAGGGTGTCTCCTCTTCCAGACCTCGGGGGCGCGCCAGCATGGATTAGCGATCCATGGATTTGGCGCGAAATCGCCAAATCCATGGATCGGTGGAGGTGCCCTTCCCAGAATGCGGCCGGTGTTGCCTCGTTGGGCCGCGGAAGTCCACGATTCCCCATGGAAACGGGACCCGTCGCTAGTCCACGCCCCCTTGATCCATGTTTGCGATCGCCTGAGGGGGGCCCCAGGGTCTGGGCCTGGGCCCAGACCCATGCCTCCTCCTCCTCCTCCTCCTCCTCCTCCTCCTCTTCCTCCTCCTCCTCCTCCTCCTCCTCCTCCCCTTCCTCCTTCCTCCCCTTCTCCCTCTCCTCTCCTCCTCCTCCTCCTCCTCCTCCTCCTCCTCCTCCTCCTCCTCCTCCTCCTTCCTCTCCCCTCCCCTCTCCTCTCCCTCTCCCTCTCCCTCCTCCCTCCTCCTCCTCCTCCTCCTCCTCCTCCTCCTCCTCCTCCTCCTCCTCCTCCTCCTCATCTCCTTGTCTCCCCTCCCCCCCGGGTCTGGACGGGGCGCCCCGCCGGGGGCTGGAGAGTCCAATATGGCCCCCTTGCTCCGAGACGCCCCAAGATGACCTTCACAATGGCTGAAGCAGGGCTCGGGTCAAACAGTGTTTTCCGTTTTCGTTTTGTTTTCGTCATCCCTAGTTCTGTCTCCGTTCCACATTTGCTGCAAAACGAAGTCAAAACGAAAACGGTCCACGAAATTGCCAAAACACCGTTTAGCTTGAGCCCTGGGCTGAAGATGGCCCAACATGCCTCAAGACAGCCTCCGACATGCCGAGAGGCCCCAACACGGCTCCAAATGATTTCCGAGCCTAACCTCCCAAACCCATGGAAACAGTAGTGGCGGACCTTCTCGCCTTTTCGCGATTGGCCTCTGAGGCCTCAGGAGGCACCCAAGACGGTCCAAGAGGGCTCAGAGTCGCCGAGTAATCGCTCGAAGACGCCCAAGATGGCCTCAAGATGGCGTAAGAGGCTTCCAAGGCGCCCCCAGAGGCCTCCAAGAGGTCTCCCAACAGGCCCCCGAGGGCAAAAACCATTGATTGTCTTAATGTTTTGAAAGGATTTGGGCGTTCTCGCATTTTCAGCTTTCCGACGCTCCAAGACGGCCCAATAGGCCCCCAAGACCACCAGCAAAACGGCCCAAGGGGCCTCCAAGAGGGCCCTAAGACGGCCGAAGAGCGCCCCAAAACGGCCCCAACACGGGCCCCAAGACGGGCCCAAGAAAGGAGACACGAATCGAACATCCGAGCCTTCCGCCCCAACGAGCCATCAGGCATCAGGAGGTCCCCAAGAGGCGCTCAAGAGGCCCCAAGAGGCACCCGAGGGACCCCCAAGAGGCTTCTGGCCCACAAGCCAAGCACGATGGCGGGACTTGCCGTTGGGCAGCTGGATCACTTCCGACGGCTGCACGGAGGGAACAGAGATAGTCTGGTTCAAGGGACTCCCGCCTTAGCGCCGCGCACACGCGTCTTAAATCAAGGGGCCCTGGGACACACAAATACATACACACAAATAACCGGATTCCCCATATTTTCAAATATTTTCAGGGTTTCTGTCTTCCCCCCATTTCCCATATTTTCCCGTATTTTCCTGGGAGTCGACGATGAATTGTGTCCGTGTGTTTCTCTCCCTCCTGAAATCTGCCCGACGGTGACACGGATGGAGCACATCTGATGTTCAGCAGGAGGCTCTGGCCTCAGAGCTGAGCGCCCCTGTCGTGAAGCATCCAGCAGGTAGAAGGCTGGAACATACATGTGTTATGTCGGGCGTGTCCCCCTACAGAGGGATTTTCGACGAAAAATAAAAAATACCTCAAGCATGCCCCAACAAGGCAACAAAAATACTTAGAACATAGTCCCCAGACTATTTCTGGACTATGTTTTGGCTACTTCCGGGGTATTTTCTATTTTTCGTCGAAAATCCCCCTGTGGGGGGACACGCCCGACTTCAGTCTAGACAAACCCATCGAACGTATGAATTCACAAGGTTGACGCCCCAACAGTGGAGCTCTGGCGTCTCCGGTGGTGTCCAGAAGCTCGGTGGCACCGCCAGAAACCCCTGGAGGCCGCTTTGGGGGTGGCTCGGATCTGGCACGAACCGCCCCGAAGGCTCGGGGAGGGCTCTCCCGCGCCATCGGGGGCGGCCCGGAAGCGCGCCCGGGCCCCGGGACACACACTTGTGGTCGAGTGCGCGGCCCCCGGCCCCCCGTACCCTGTGCGCCGTGCGATGTCCACTTCCGGAGGTCCGCGTGGTTTTCTTGGATCTGCGCTGGAGCCCCCCTGGCGGCGCCCCTGGCACCGTTCCAGGCGCGCTCTGCGCGCCAGGGGGGGGGGTCAGCGCCGATCCAAGAAATCCGCGAGGAGCTCCGACAGTTTCTGTTTATGCCCTTCGGGGAAAAGTAGAGGCAAAGCAACCAAAGGGTGCGCAGCAAAGAGGCGGCTCCTTTGAATGCAGTGCGACATGATCAGAGGGATGCGCGGTAGGGACGCGAGGCCATTGGACGCCCAAGTCCAGGCCCGTCTTGGAGACAGGGGGACTGGCCAGCCAACGTGGCCAAGGATGGGCCGAAGAGGCAAGGGCCGGGGAGACGTAAGACTCGGGTACGGAGGACTCGGGTTGGCCTGACGGAGGCCATCATGAAAACGACGAGACCCAATCTGGAACTTGACGCGGGCTCCCGCTGCAGACATCCCACAAAAGCCAGACCGTCAAAATCCAGGTCGCGCTCGTCAAACAAAGACTTCGGCAAACCCAAGTTCCGGCTCACTCGAGTCCTACGTTTCCCCGAATTGGGTGCAGGGTGCCCTTGGCAAGCTGCCCATCCTGGTGATGCGGCGTGACTGCTCCTGCCTGCCTCGGTGCTCAATGCTGCCACTCTGGAGCGGATGACGGGGAACGGCAGGGGGGGACTGGCTCGGCAGGGGGGGGGGAACATCGGCTTGGAATCGGTGACACATCGCCCTTCGATCGCCGATTGGCCCCCGACAGCGAAACCGCACGTTCCTGGACAGGGTGGGCTATCGGGCCCCCTCGGCGATCACTGGGCGTCGGGGGGTCCATGTATCCCCCCATTGAGCCTATCCCCCCCTATAGTGTTGCCCCTGACTGATGTCGCCACCGTGGTTTGCGGCCCATGACTCGGGCCTGCGGCGGCCGTTCGGGGCGAGCCCAGCACCACTGCAGAACGCTCCCGACGAGGTGCGGCCGCTGGCAGGCACCCGGAAGCCGGAACATCGCCGAGAACCCACGAAAAAAGCGTCCCAGGACCTCGAGACAGCGCGGCCCCGGAGCGGAGCGGGCGTTCTCTTTCCCGCCGGCGCGCGCTGATAGTCGCAGGGGCCCGGGCTCCAGGCCTCCATTAGGGGAACAAAAAATTGCATAAACATACAAAACTCAGAGAACCGCGCGGATTTCTCGGATCGGCGCTGCTCCCTGGCGCGCGGAGCGCGCCAGGGGCGGCGCCGGAGGCGCCGCCGGGGGGCCCCGGCGCCGATCCGAGAAATCCGCGCGGACCTCCGAGTTGTTATGTTTATGCCACTGTTTGTTCCCCTATCCATGGCCCAGGGTAGGCGGCGCGCAAAAGGGGGTAGGGGGACGGGGGAAGGCTTCTTAGAAGCACCCTGCTTCTTAGAAAGCCTCGGCCTTACGTCTATAGAGAAGGCCCGCGCCTTCTCAGAAGCAGGGGTGCTTCTAATTAAGAAGCCTTCCCTCCTCCCCCCATCCCCCTCTGCGCGCCGCCAACAGGGGCTCCCGCGCGCGCGCGGGGCCTGGCCGCCAGGCTGCCGCGCGGGCAGCGTCGAGGCGGCCGGCGGTGCCCCATGGGCGGCCGGCGGAGCCGGAGGGCGGTGGCCGCCACACGGCAAGGGGGCGGCCCGCCCAGGGGAGAGCACTGCGGCAGGCTCCTCTCCTGGCGGCCTGGCTGGGCGCTGGCTTCTGGCACCGCGGCTCCTCCTCCTCCTCCTCCTCCTCCTCCTCCTCACCTCCTCCTCCCTGCTCTTCCTCTTCTAATCCTCCTCTCCTCCTCCTCCTCCTCCTCCTCCTTGCTCCTCCACCTCCTTCTCCTCCTTCTCCTCCTCCTCTCTGTTCCTCCTCCCTCTCCTGTCCTAGGTCCGGCCGCGGCGCGCACCGTGCTGGTTGGCCTTGGGCCACTGGCGGCGTTCGCGGGCCGAGGCCGTCGCCACGCCGCCACGACACGAACCTGCCGTACACGTGCCGGCGGCGAACCGATGGGGGGGGGGGGGGAAGCGAGAGGGGGCAGGCCTTCTCGGAAGGCGGCGGGGCTTCTCCGAAGCCCTCGCGCCCTCGGAGAAGCCCTGGGGGCCTTCTCCGAAGCCGCGGGCGGCTGCCCGCAAGGCGCGAGGGCTCCCGAGGTGCCGCCGCCTCCCGAGCAGGCCTGCCCCCTCTCGCCTTCCCCCCTGGGCTCCCCGCCGATTGTACCCAAGGGCTCCGACTGTACCCCGAGGTGGCCGCCCCGCGGTGGCCGCCCCGACGTGGCCGCCCCGACGTGGCCGCCCCGAAGGGGCCAGCGGGGCAGGGCCGCCCCGACGGGGCCAGCGGGGCAGGGCCGCCCCGAAGGGGCCGCCCGAATGTCTTCGACGACCAGCAAGATGAACGTCTTCAGCTGTCGGCTCACCTCGGCGCGGCCGCGCCGGGATTGGGGGTGGGGCCTGCATGGGGGAGGCGAGCGGCCCGGCCCGGGCCGGGAAGGTGAGAGAGCTAGGAGGAGAGGAGGCGGAGGAGGAGGAGGAGGAGGAGGGAGGAGGAGGAGGAGGAGGAGGAGGAGGAGGAGGGGGAGGAGGGAGGAGGGAGGAGGGAGAGGGAGGAGGGGGAGGGAGGAGGGAGGAGGGAGGAGGGAGGAGGGAGGAGGGAGAGGACGGGAGGAGGGAGGGGGGAGGCGGGAGGAGGAGATGGAGGAGGGAGGAGGGCGGAGGGAGGAAGGGAGGAGGGAGGAGGGAGGAGGGGGAAGGGTAGGAGGGAGGAGGGAGGAGGGGGAGGAGGAGGAGAGGAGGAGGAGTGAGGAGGAGGAGGGGGAGGAGGAGGAGGAGGAGGAGGAGTGGTAGGAGGAGGTGGAGGAAGGAGGCGGAGGAGGAGGAGGAGGAAGGAGGCAGGAGGGAGGGGGAGGAGGAGGAGGTGGAGGAGGAGGAGGAGGGGAGGAGGAGGTGGGGAGGGAGGAGGAGGAGGGATGAGGGGAGGGGAAGGAGGGAGGAGGGAGGAGGGAGGAGGGTAGGAGGGAGTGAGCGGAGGAGGGAGGAGGGAGGAGGAGGAGGGAGGAGGAGGAGCGATGGAGGGAGGAGGGAGGAGGGAGGAGGGAGGAGGAGGAGGAGGAGGAGGAGGAGGAGGAGGAGGAGGAGGAGGAGGAGGAGGAGGAAGAGGAGTGTGAGGAGGAATTATACGAGGAGGTCGAAGATGATGACGAGGAGGATGAGGAAGAAGCACAAGGAATGAAACAATGGCGAAGCGATGAAACGGAGATAACAAAACGAGAAAGAGGAGGAACGGTATGGGGAGGAGAAGGGGTGGAGGAGGAGGCGGAGGAGGAGGAGGAAGAGACGACACGAGTGCCACCCCTCGTGGGAGAACCGCCCGAAGCCTCGAGGTTTCGAGGACGAGGCGAGAGCGATGTGGCGGGGCACAATCACCGAAGACGCTGCCGTGATCACACTTGCGGTGCTCCGCAACCGCCCTGGGAGGACCCCGAGCGCTGCCGCTGATGGTTTGAATGCTCACCCGCTGCCCCACGCCCGTCCCAGGAGGGCCCAAAATATTGTCCGAGATAGCAGCATGTAACACGAAGTCAGGACGACGAGGATGAACATCGTTTATCCAACCCCCATCCCCAGCGGCTTGGCCTGGGCCCCACTGGCCGATCTACCCTCCAAGATGGGGATACAGGCCGTTCGCTTCGGCTTTCCAGGGGTGTATCCCCAACTGGGGTGGTAATTTATTGAGGGACTCGTAGGGGATGAGGATGGGGATGGGGGCAGGTGAAACGATACTGAGGGGAAGACGCACCGAGATGGATCGGAGATCCCTGAGGGCAAGCCTCCTCCTCGTCCTAGCGAACAGGGTCGGCAGCACTGGCCGTAATGCCTTCGCAATATTGCCCGAGATAGCAACACGTAACACGAGACCAGGACGACGAAGACGCACCGAAATGGATCGGAGATCCCTGAGTAAGGAAACAAACTCTATACACCGACGCTTTTCCCGACCCTGCGCTGAAATTCGCACAGGAAACCAGATCCTGGTGTATACGGGATCCTGGTGTATACATGTTTCGTTGTTTCCGTTGGAAAACGGGGGAAAAGTGTACACCACACCACCCCGACGTCCTCCACGACCCTCAGAAAGTCCTGGGATTGAAGAACAACCCGCCACTGGTAGTGTATCTGTTCCAGCTTGCGGCTGAGGGCACGCAAGATTGGAGGATGTGCCGGGCGCCTCGGCCGCTCCAGCGCGCCCAGGAACGCCCTTCTGCTCTTTCGGCGGGGCTTCTCTCTCGCCAGCAACTGGGTTTAGTGGGACCCGGTTTAGTGATCTGTACCGGGGGCGCCCCCCCGCCCCATTTCCACTAACCGGAACTGCCGTCACCCGAACAAACAGCAGCTATGGCAAACCTGGTCTAGTGATTCTGGCCAGTTCGAAGGCTCCGGGGCCCTACCACTAACCGGGTCCCCTTACCCGGGGTCCTGGCCATACCCGACAAGGGCACCCTTGACCCTTGATCTGGCAGGGTCGACCTACTGATCTGGGCCGACTCTACTCCCGGGCGCGCCTGGGGGACCTCCACGGCGGCCCCAGGATCCCCACCGAGGGGGCTCCCAGTGCTGGGCGTGTTTTCCACCACCACCACCATAAGTTGGACGGGGGGGTCCTCCGCATACCCCCCCCCGCGGCCCTCTTCCCCTCCTACTCCTCCTTTCCTCCCTCCTCTTCCCTCTTCTCTCCCTATCCCAACTCCCTCATCATACCTCAACTCCCCTCCCTCCTCCCTCCTCCCTCTCCTCCTCCTCCTCCTCCTCTTCCTCCCCTCCTTCCGCCACCCTCCTCCTCCCTCCTACTCCTCCCTCATCCTCCTCCCTCCTCCTCCTCCCTCCTCCCTCCTCCTCCTCCTCCTCTCCTCCCTCCAACTTATGGTGGTGGTGGTGGTGGTGGAAAACACGCTCAACACCAAGGGCCCAGGGACGGCCCAAGAGCCCCATGGGCGCTCCAACACTAGCCTCCGTGCGGCCCCCAAAAAGGCTCCCCCACGGCCCCACGCGGCCCACCGGCGCTGCCGGCATGGCCGCAAGTGTGTCTGCAAGACGGCCATCGCAGCTCCCAGGGAGGCCCAGGCACGGCCAAACGGCCCCCAGTAGAGCCCCGAGATGCACCAGCAGCTCCCAGAGCAGTGCGAGCATTGAGAGGCTCCTGCCCTCGCTTCCCCAAGGACTTGGACGGGGCAGCCGAGGTTTCGCCTGGTGCCCGTGGGTGCCCGCCCGTGGATGGCCCCTCCGTGGGCGCCTCGGGGGCTGGGTTGGTCAGCCGAGGCTTCGCCTGGTGCCCGCCCGCGGGAGCCTCGATGGCGCAGCGCGGGCGCCTCGTGCGCTGAGCGGGTCAGCCGAGAGTTCCCCTGGGAGGCCCCCGAGAGGCCCCCGAGAGGCACCCAAGAGGCGCCCAGAGGCCTCATAGAGGCCCACAATGCCTCAGGAAGCCCCCACGAGTCCGCCAAGAAGCCTCCAAGAGGCCTCCGAGAGGCATCCCAAGCGAGCTCAACAGAAACCCAGCGCGCCTCTGACCTACGACCCAGGCACGGTGGCAGGATGCCCTGACGGAGCTTCGGTGGGGGCGTGCCCCTCTGAGTGCTGCATCGCCACGATCCTGCCACCTTACCTTCCCCAAGGGGGGTCCACGCAGCAGCTCAGGGAAACGACCGCCAATCACTACCCCCTCGGCCCCGGCGATCACGCAGGCAAGTGCCAGCGACGATGAAGCATGGGCCGGCGGGATGGGCGAAGCGCTTAGACTCCGTGGGCCCCCCGCGGGCCCTGGCCGTGTTGGGCCTCGAGGGTACACGATGAGAGGGAGGATGATAATGGAGGAGAGGGGGAAACATGCATGAGGAGGGCTGCGCGCATTCCAGAGGACAGCCGCACCTCCGTTCTCGCTTTGACATGTGAAAATGAAGGTGTTCTGCGCTCTCAGGCTCCGGGCGCAGGTCAAAATACAAATGATGTGCGCCTCGAGGCTCCTGGGACGCGTAGATATTCGAGTGAGCCGTGCTCCGATGGCCACACGTGGCCGTCTCGCTCGGGACATCCTCGCCAGAAGGGCCTCGGAAAGGACTCTGAATATATGGAACTGTCGCTTCGCTCGGGGCATCCTCGACAACCCGGCTTCGGAGAGGACTCTGGATTTCAGAAATGGCAGTTTCTGGCCATCGCTCGGACGTCCATTCCCTATGTTTTTTCTGTTTCGTGCGTGGTTTTTTCGCCACATGATCAAGGATGCTCCTCGATGGTCCTCGCCGAAGGAAAAATGCACACGTCCGATCGATGCCAAGGTTTCGCCAGGGACTGCCTCGACAAATCAGCCTCGGACGGGGTGTCGCGCTCGAGACAGCGGCGACCATCTGCCTCGGAGGGCGCTTTGCACATCCCCCCCCCCGCGGGACGCCAACAGGACCCCGACGATTGGTACCGACACTCGTCGAAGCAATACACGTCGGTCGGAAGAAGTAGGTAAAAACACTAAGTAGGAAGGCGAACAAAGTGGATTGGGTCCAGGCCCTCCCGGATAACAACAAAACACAGCAAAATCAGGTCGATTCTTGAAGTAGAAGGCGCTTGAAGTAGATTTGGATATGGGAATCCAAAAATACCTACTTTCAACGACCGGCTTGTAGAGGTAACACCCCCTGATTGCAAATCTGCGTGCAAGCTTTCCCCTGGGGGGCCCGTCTTGCCTCCCGCTTCTGCGGGCTCAGGAAGATCATGGTGCAATTAGCTCATGATTGTTTCTGCGAGTTCCAGAGTTTCTAGCAGAACTCGGCCACTCGTTTTCGTAGAGCAGCGACCGACCGTCCTGGCAGTTCCATAGGCCTACCACGACATGTCTTCGAACCCAAACATGCTCTAATAATAAAAGCAACATTCTGAGAACCTAAGCCCGATACTTTCAGCCAGAAATGTTCTAAGAACACTTCTTGCAGATCGCACAAGGTTTTTAGAACATTATTTGGTGAGCCTATAGGCAAGCCAGGACGCTTCGCGCTTCGCCACTGCTTGCATTCGGCGTTCGTCCCTGGGCGAAGGGGGCATCAAGGAATCCTCCAAATCTTGGGACGCATCGTTACCACTACCTCTCGCCCCTCAGACCAGAGGCCCCCGAAACCGAGAAAGGCCCAAACAAAACAGTCCACCGACCGCAATCCTCGATGCTCCTTCAGCTCCCTCCCCCCTCTCGGGTGCGCCGAAGAGGGTGGTCAGGAAGAGGGGGGCTAAGCGCACCATGCCTCGAGGCAAGGGCGGGCACGTGGGGCCAGGGATGCGTCAAGGAAGGAACAGTTGATGGCGCGCACAGCGGGGTAGAGGGCGGGGGGAAGGCTCCTTAGAAGGAGGCTGCCTCTTAGAAGGCACTGGCCTTTAGTTAAGGCCCGCACCTTCTAAGAGGCAGCCTCCTAAGAAGCCTTCCCCCTTCCCCCATACCAGGGCTGAAACTAAACGGTGCTTTTTGTTTTCGTTTTGTTTTTGTTCCCCCTCGCGTTTGTCTCGGATCAGCCTTTCCCGCAAAACGAAGTCGAAACAAAAACGGCCCACGAAATTACCAAAAACATCGTTTAGGTCCAGCCCTGCCCTATCCCCCCCTCTGCGCGTGGCTGAACAAGTTTGCCTGACATCTGAGACGTCTCGCCGCATCTGCCATGGTATCCACACAACCCTGGCACTCAGGCCCCTCTTCGTCGCCCCCTCTTCGACGCCCTCCCCTCCTCGTGCAACCCTCCTCAGATCCTCCCTCGATCCTCCTCGATCCGCCCTCGATCCGCTCTCGATCCTCATCGACCCTCCCTCGATCCTCCCCCGACCTCGGCAAGAAGGAGCCGACAGAGAAGAGAGGCCGCGCGCGCGCGGCAGCGCCTGGAGGGCGCGAAGCCTCCAAACTCGGGCCTCTCCTGCGGGAGGGGGGCGAAGAGGGGGGGGGGCGGACGAGGTGGGGAGGACGACGATCGGGCCGGGCGAAAGGGGGGATAGCAAAGGGGGGGTTCGAGAATCCGCTCACGAAGCTGATTTTCCCGGCGCCTCCCGGCGCCGGGAGGCGCCCATGTATCGAGGAATAGGCCAGGCGAGGTTTGAGAATCAGCTCACGCAGCCGATTTTCCCGGCGCCTCCTGGCGCCGGGAGGCGCCCCTGTATCGAGGATTAGGCCAGGCGACGGGGCCGAAGCCAGCTGCATGCGGCAGATTTCGTACCCCCCCCTTTCCCTATCCCCCCCCTTTCGTTCGGCCCGAGATGAGGAGGGGGAGGACGAGGTGCGGAGGACAAACTCCGTGCGCTGAATTCCGATGCCGTCGGGTGCCAGATGCCGGGAGTA